TATATATATATATATATATATATATATATATATATATATATCCATCAATGATAAAGTGGGACTGCAAATTGGGAAACGACCTTATAATATTATTAGAAAAATTCTACTAATTAAATATAGGCTAATTGATTTCATTAAGGCAGCAGTCAAATTTTTGTCATTACTTAATTGGCTAAAAATTGCCTCAAATTAATTAAAATTCTCGATTATTTATATTTTTGATGACTCAAAATATAATTTCTTTCGTCTCAAAATAAATATTATTTTAATAGTATATTTATATAGTTGAGTACCAGAAAATGTAATTATCTTGACGATCAAAATAGGTAATCGACCCAATTTTACTGTGAAATCTAAGTATAATTTACATAAATTTCATAGTCTAAAGTGTAAATTTTATTTTATTCTTTACTCTTTTTCTAATTACAATAATTCTTTAAAATTTGTAGTTTTTGGATACATTAAAGAGTATCTCAGATACATTATAACATAAACAAGATACATAATATGTAGCTATGATACCTTAAAAACTAGTCCGAAGACATTAGATACTATCTCAGATACATTAAAAACCAACTTAGATATATTATAAAATAAAATAAATACATAATATGCAGCTTGGACACATTAAATACTGACTCGAATACATTAGGAGAGAAATAAGAAATTTTAAAGATTTTTAAAAATAAAAAAAGATATTAAAAATAAGAAAAATATAAGACGTGTAGTTCAATAATTTCAGAATTTGATTCAAAGAGGATAACAAAGGGAATTTTTAAAGACAAAAATTCCAAAGTTAATAAGAATAAAAGTTGATAAGATATCATATTTGACTTTAATAACTCAATTAATTATATTTTGATCAACATATATAACAATTGCAAGTTGTTTGCATTTGAAAATATCTCCATTTTCTTTCCTTTAATACCCATCAATGATAAGTGGAATTGTTAATTGGGAAAATAACTTTATTATAATGATTAATGTTGTCTTAAGAAATTCCACTAATTAAATATAGGCTAATTGCCTTCATTAATTTAGTAGATAAATTGTTTTGGCACTTATTGGGCTAAAAAGTGAATCAAACCTCTCAATATATACTTCACTTTCATTTTGTATACAATTAGAATCTTTATAATAATCAATTCTCTCTAATAATATAACATAACATGACTGATTAATTTAATAAATCATTCATGTTATATGTTATATTATTTGTTCTTTATAAAAGCATTTTGCTAGCAATCGAAGTATCAAAACATACTACTAAGATCATAGTGATCTCAGATATTTTTTCCGTTTTAATTCATGTTAAATCTATTTTTTCCAGTCAACCAAAATAAAGACATATGCTATCCAATTTGATTCCACATATTTAGCGATATTTTTTTAATTGATTTGGGATCAAACTATCATGGAAAAAACATCTCTAAAGCATAAACTTAAAAAGTTTAAAAACACTTTCGATATAAAGCAAACACATGAATAAAAAGATTTAAAATTTAAAAAATTATTCTCGACATAAAATAAATACGTCAATAAAAAATCGTTTAGAAACTTATTATTATATGAGATTCTACTGGTACAGATAGACCAAAGCCAAGATGACAACAAATTAGTGAGTTATATATACCAATCTTGGTGGGTCAATGTTGTCATGCTTCATGGATATCTAATAGTACGTGTAGGCAAATGTTTATTTATCTTTCACCTTTTTTATCATAGTTATGAGATAAGTAGTAAATTTTTACGATCGAATAATATGAGAGACAGTCAAAGCATCAATTTCATATACATGATCGAATAATTGTTCTATTGGATATTTAGGTTTTTCATTAGCGTATATATACTTGGTAATCTAAATTTATTTTGTCGAAGTAATCTATTTCTCTTAAGGTCTAAATGTGTACAATTAGGAGTATTATTATTAAATACAAAAATTAAATATACATCAATTATATAATTGAGAAGATATTGATATAGCATAATAAAATCATTAAAACGATAACACATGAAATATACCAATATAATTTATCATGAAGTACTCTAAATAATAAGAGCACCAAAATGATTAATGATCAAGGAATGTCATAATCTCATCAATTATAGTCTTCACGAGACACAAAATATTTATTCATGGTCTACTTTTTATCAAATATGTGGCAAAATCTAAAATAAAACAAATATACGTAATAGCCTAAGATTTGAACAATCATTCAAATTCGAAACTCTAATAAGAGTAACAAATGAGGCCTTAATGTGTTTGCGTTTGTAAAAGTCAAAATCCAAATCTTGATTCTATTATAATTTTAAAAATAATTATCTTTTCTTGATATATTAAAATAAATATATATATTTTTATAATAGTCAACAAAAAAAATGAACAGAGAGAATAATATATATATTTAAAAAAAAACATTGCTATAATTTAAACTTGTGGACATCAAATAATTATGCAACCATTTGGATTATCATAGCCATAATAGTCACCGGCTTGAGGGAAATAAGATGCTGGTGGTCCACCGTAGAGCCCCACTAACAACGGCGGTTGTCCACGGTGGTACCCTAATGATGGTGGTGGTTGATAACGATGGTGCCCCATCAACATTGGCGGTGGTCCATGGCATTGGTGGTGTCCCCCTAAACAACGTAAATTAGGATGGTTATTCTCGTGCAAGTCATTCAAAGGGTCACAAAAATTCATCCTATAGCCCATCTCAAGGCTCTCAACCCTCCTCATTCTTGAAAACCGTTCTGAGTCATCATTCCAATAGTTTCTGACATATGGTTGGGGTTGGGGTGACAAATCACATGGACATAATGACGGTGGTGCTGATGGTGGTGCTGATTGCAAAAAAGGTAATAAATGTCCACGAAATTCACAACAATCATGTTGATACTCTTGTGCAACGTGTTCACCATGCGGTGGCGGCGGCGGTTCCTCTTTTTTAGGAGATGGAGGTGGCGGAGGAGGTCGTGGTGGTGGACAAGGCTGCCAAACCAGACAAGAGAAATATTGTCAGAATTTAATTTTGCTCATCGATACATAAAAATAAAATAAAAATTACAAGTTAATTTCTTTAACTGTAATAAGTGAGGATCAAACACTTTACGTTTGATTATAAATTTTGATATGAAATTTTTAAGATTTTTAAAAAATAAAATTTTATATATTTAATAACTACGTACATAAAAATATTATAAATCACAATAATTATCAATTAAAAATATTATTTATTAGTACTCAAATTCTGAAAAAATATCACGTAAATTAAAACGAACCGAATATTTTAATTTTTGAAGTTTTCCAATCAATATAATGTACCTTGCATTTCCGTGGACGAATCTTCCGTGGATCCATTGAAGAAAGCTACCACACCCTACAAAAACTTTTTTCAAAAAATTACCATTTAATTTTGATGGTGAATTTGGCATATTTTTTAAACCTTTTTAAATAAAGTTTATATATATATATATATATAATAAAAAGTGATAAATACTTATTCATACTAATACAAGAAGAAATTAAACATTTGAAATTGAATTTTTGTAAACCAACTATGCTAATAAATATTAAAAAAAAATAAGGAATAGTAAAGCATAAAAATTTAGTCCTTTATTAAGGCAGAAATTATTCAAAATATAAAGAATTAAACTGCAACTAGTCTAGAAAATTGACAAATAGTTAGAAATAATTTCTCCATTCCATTTTATTTGTCACATTTCGCCTTATTAGAAATAATTCATCTAATTTTTAAAGCTAAATTAAATTCGAGTAATTAATATTCTAGATTTTTAAAATTTATAAGAAAAATAGTAATTGCAAATTTTCAATCATCCTCATATTAATAGGGTTAAAAAAGTGCATCTTAAAAATTGATTAAAATTCATACGATTTGACTCTCGATAAATAAAATATGACGAGTAAAAATGAACGAAAAGAATATTAAACTAAAAGAATAAAGGAGAAAACTAACAAGCAACTCACCAACTTTTCTGGTATTAGATTTGTTCAATCAAAACTTAGGAGTAATTAATTAATTAACCTATATATATTTTAATAAAACTATGTATAAAGAGACAATTTTCCCTTTTTCTGAAAAATATATTTTTCAAAACTACTTAAGGAAAGATAATATAAGATATGATTATTTTTCTTTTTTTAAAAAATCTTCTAACTGGTAAATATTAATATTTCTAAGAATGAAAAAAAAAGTTTAGCTTACTTTTATGTGAAGAAAATATACACAAGGAAATTTTGATAATGCACAGCTCATTTTATTTTCATTATTATTAGCTGGAAATTTAGCACATTTAAATAAATATATATATTAATAAGAAGTAAATCTTTAAAAAAAAATAGTAAGTCGAAATATAATTATGGGTCGAAAATCTTCTAAAGACCTAAAAGAAAAAGCATAAATATTCTTTGACTCAATAATGAAAATTAATTTCAAAATAAAAAAATACTTAGTTAAAATCTAAGAAGACGTATAATGATTTTATATTTATATATAATATAAATATATGTAAAAAAAATCTTAGCTTTATATTTTAAAAAAATTCTTAGCTTTAGATTTTATTTTTTTGGTAATATCTTAATTAACCATTTTTTATAGACAAATTCTTTAAGGATACCAATGATATGTTTAGTAATTTTGATAAAATATTTGATGTTTTAAATACACTATTTATGAAAAAGAATATTAGATGAATATATGTTTTATCATTAAACATATTTCCTTCTTTATATGAAGTGTTTCTAAACTTAAAATTTGACATTAAATTTTTTACACTATTTATGATACAGAATTTTATATGAATATATCTTTTTCATTAAAAGATTTCCCTTTTTAATCTTAATCTTAATACAAAGTATGAGTAAGCTTAAAATTTAAATAATTTTACATATTATTTTTTCCTGTAATAGTCAAATATTGTTTAAATATTTAAATGTCTCTATAAATCCAAAAATTGTCGGAACTAACACGTTGTGTAATTGTATTTATGTATTTAAAAAAATAAAAACAATTAATTTTTCGATTTTATGTTATTTTAATTCATTAGAATTAAAGACTCAATATAAAAGCGTTTTTATAATTTAACATTCAATTTTTAATAAGAATAAAGTTTTATTTTTAAAAAAAACATCATTTGTATTAGACCGATGAAAAATAGCGAATATTATATACTAATTAATTCTAAATGTAGCAATATTTAATATTAAAAATGTAAGAAATACATTATATTTGTGTGTATACATTATGCATAATCAATGTATCTGCGCCCAAATAATATTTCTATAATGAATTATATTATATTTGTACGATTAAATATTTCTATAATGAATTATACTATATTTGTCTAGCTATTTTTTGTACATATAATAAGTAATTAAGTATATCCTTACGTAACCATTATAAAATCTTAAACTATTACTATATTATAATAAATTTTTTAAAAATATATTCAAATAAATACAGAGCCTTAATTTATTGTGTCACGTAATTTTTTAAATAAAGCTTCTTTCGTACTTATTATTACTTATTAGTGTGAAAACAAATATTTTCTAAATCATTTTATATCGAAACAATTGTAAAATATTAAAAGTGTACAAATATATCAAAGTTTTAACTTAGAAAACAAAATAGAATAACAGACCGATCGGGATATTTGCTTCAATCACAAAAAAATTAAAATAAAGTCATGTATCTTCTTCTTAAAGAAAAAAAAAATAGTTTCGAAAAAAGTCTGATATACCCCTCAACTTTGTTATTTAGAGCTGATATACCGCTTGTTATGAAAATGACTCATATATATCTCTATTGGTAAACAAATGGCTCACATATACCTTTTTTCTCTAACGAAAAGGAAAAAAAATTAATCTAAATTTTTATTATTTTTTCTAAAAAAATATAATACCATGTGAGTAAATTTAATCCTCATCAAACATATTTTTTTTGACTTATTTTGTTTCAATGACTAATTTATAATTATTATTTTGATAATCAAATTTATTTTTGTTTCACTAATATTCTTGTAAAACTTATTGTAGATGATCAAATATTTTCTTTGAATACGAAATTAAATTATAATACACACAAAAAAATAGTTTAATTTTTTTCTTTAAATTAAGTAATGAAAGAAAAAAAAACAAAAGAAGAATAAGAAATTCAAATAATTGTAATAAAAGAAGTCAAAAAATAATTTATGTATGAAAAAATTAAATGTACCTTGAACTTTGATAGAAGAATCATATATACCCCTAAATATTTTTTTTTTAAAAAAGTAATAAATATAAATTTAAAACTAATTTTTCAACTTCCGTTAAATGAAGGGCATATGTGAGTCATTTTGTAACGACAGGGGTATATGTGAGCAGTTTGTATAACGATAAGGACATATATGAGCTACTTTTATAACGAGGGTATATCAGTTTCAAATGACAAAGTTGAGGGGTATATCAAACCCTTTTCCCTAGTTTAAAATACATCATCATTTAAAAATTTACATTTTATTTAGGCATATAATTTGAATTTTTTTAAAACTATATTTTTCTTCATGAACACAAAACTTTATAATTTATGAAAAATTTAAAATCTTACATACAATCTTATAAAAATAATTTAAAATAGTGTTAATTCATAATAATAATTTTGAATTTGATTGAAGAGCGCGTTAAAAAAGATGAATTCAATCGATAAAATGTGTCACAAAACTAATTGATGTCATAATATTTCATAAATCAATGCAACATATGGTTTGTTAGGAGTGGTATAATACCTCCTTCATTCTAAACTATGTATACCATGTTCAAATCGTATAAATAAAGTAATTTTTAGTAATATCTCACAATAAAATTATTCGAATAAATTCAATCCCAAAATAATTATCAAACATTAGTAAAAAAAAAATTATCTGTTAAAATAAAAATTCCTTTTTCAAAATAAAATTATCTTTATTAAAAAGTTATTTTATTTTTTTATTATTAATTTTTTTTAATTTAATCAGACTTTAATACTGATATCATAAATGGATAAGTAGAAGTATTAGTATATTATAAGGTGGCCCTTTGTTCGACTTTCCCTTTCATGTTATGGTGGGGTTTGGTTATGTACACAAAAAGCAAAAGAAGTAAATGTTGGTGGCTCCTCTTATTTTTTGGACTTCATATAAATATACTTTTATCCTTTTGTTTTGTCCATCTATTTATTTTGAAAATAACCTAATTATTTGTACTTTACTTTTAAAGAAAATGACATATCAAGAAAAATATTTATTTTCCCTTTGTATATAATTAAAAAATATAATATACTTTATGATTTGTGTATTTGATAAATTCAATGTCCATTTGGTTGTATTTATATGAAGAAGACATATAAAAGATGACACACGTTTATGCTAACAATAATTTTTTATTATTGAAACTTTTATAAATCGATAAAAACATAGATGAAATTCTATTTATGATTTATTAGGGGTTGTTTAGTTCATCAAGTAAGATAGAATATTTGTAAAATACATTATTATTTTTTTAATTAAAGGTATAACTATAAGATATAGTTATATCTTAAATTTGATATTATTTTATTTTATCCAAAAGATAAGATTATAATTTTGAAATAATTTCTTTGGCAAATGTAATGTAAAGAGGAAGAACTAATGTGGAATTTAGACTTTAAAGTTTAAGAGCTCTAAATTTGTTATTAAATTTATAATAATTAAATTTGTTATTAAATTTATAATAAGTTTTAATTATTGAATCGCAATAATGAGTGTATACATGTACAAGATGACACATGTTTAAACTTTAAACTAGGAAAAATGTTTGATTTTTTAAATTTTTATGAATAGACAAAACAAGGATGAATTTCTTTTTTATTATTTATTTATCATTCGATATTTGATACATATTTTAAAGTTTAATTGATTTTAATTTACGTTATATAAAATTTCATACAAGAAATATCGTTCTACAAATAACTTTTTCATACTCAAAACTTGAACATAAGATATCTGATTAATATTAAAGAATAGCACATCATTAAATGATAATATTAATCGATTCCGCTTTTTAAAGCTTCTTAATACTATTATTATTGTTATTATTTTATCATATGGAGAAAATTGATCAAGTAAAGTGGAGGACAAATGGTCAAATATGAAGAGTTTATGAATTTTAGGATTGTCATCAAACTTATAATTTGTTTTAATTATTGAGTTTATAATTATAGAGCATTGAATTACTTATCAAGAGAAGTGCGACCACATATATGGAGAGTTAAAAAAAAGTGTGAAAAATACATATTAAAATGTTAAAAATTGTAATAAATATTTTTAAATGTAAATAGTAGTATTTTA